TTGTCTGTCTGTCTGTCCGTCCGTCCGTCCGTCTGTCTGTCGGTGGGTTGGTTGGTTGGGGTTGGAGTTGGAGTTGTGGTTGCGCTTGTGGTGGTTGCGGTTGTTGCTGTTGTTGTTGTTGTTGTGGTTGTTGGTTGTTGGTTGTTGGTTGTTCTTGTTGTTCTTGTTCTTGTTCTTGTTGTTGTTGTTGTTGTTGTTGTTGTTGTTGTTGTTGTTGTTGTTTTTTGTTTTGTTGTTGTTGTTGTTGTTGGTTGTTTGTTGTTGTTTGTTGTTGTTGTTGTTGTTGTTGTTGTTGTTGATGTCGTTGTTGTTGCGGTTGTTGGTTATTGGTTGTGGTTGTTGTTGTTGTTGTTGTTGTTTGTTGTTGTGGTGCTTGTTGTTGTGGTGGTGGTGGTGGTTGTGGTTGTTGCGGTTGAGGTGGTTGTGGTTGTGGTTGTTGTTGTGGTTGTTGTTGTTGTTGTTGGTTGTTGTTGGTTGTTGGCTGTTGGTTGTTGTTGTGGTGGCGGTTGTTGTTGTGGTTGTTGTTGTGGTTGTTGTTCTTGGTTGTTGGTTGTTGTTGTTGCTGTTGGTGCAGAAACTCGGCCAGCTCCAGGAAGCATTCGATATCAGTCCGCAACGATCCACGCGCTGTTGAAGAGCATTTGCCACTCCTCAGCGTGGCTTCTACTCTCCGCTCGCAAGCGGGAGCATGGGAAACAGCGATCCAAGATCGCTCAGGAACTACAGAAGATCACTCAGACAAGGCGCCGCTCCTAGATTCCTCCATGCCTTGAGGCTGCATCGAATCCAGCTCCTTCAGGATCTAGGGGAGTAGTAGTAGTCGTCGTCGTCGTCGTCGTGGTAGTGGTAGTGGTAGTGGTAGTGGTAGTAGTAGTCGTCGTGGTGGTGGTGGTTGTTGTTGTTGGTTGTTGCTTGTTGGTTGTTGTTGTTTGTTTGTTTGTTTGTTTGTTTGTTGGTTGGGTTGGGTTGGGTTGGGTTCGGTTGGGTTGGGTTGGGTTGGGTTGGGTTGGGTTGGTTGGTTGGTTGGTTGGTTGTGTTTTTGTTTTGTTGAAAAATTCACATACGCAGGTGTACGTTACGTGTAACCGTGTATTTGCTTTAAGTTGACATCATGTTAAGTTATGTCATCAAAACCTAATTCCAATGAAATCGATGGTGATATGCCCTAGGGACCCAGACAAGAAGTTTGCAAGTGTTGGTTGCTGCGTCAAAGATACCTTGTGTTCCTGAGGCGCTCCTGAACTGCTGCCCCGAGTTTTTTCCTTGTCACATCTAAACAACCTGAAATCTAAACAGATAACCCTTTAGAGGGTCATGGTTGGTGAGCGGGGGTCAGCCTGCACCGCACAAAGGTTTTTTTTATCAAAGGCCGGGTCCATTTAGACAGGTTTGCCCTCATACTGTGAGGTGCTACGTAGGTGTGTCCACAAACGTAGACGGCGGATAATGGTGATTCCAATGGTGAATGGTTCTTTAAGCCGGCTGCGAAGCGCGGCTTGAGGGGTGGAAGCACTTGAGCTGGCAAGCTCCTTCAGAGTGTAGAGAGGTTCTCAGTCGGGATTCCAAAGTGTTGTTACAGGGTACACATGTCATGTTCGCCCGACAACCTCCACAACCTAGGTGACCACTGGTTTCAAATGCGTATATCACGGTGGTGTTGTTGTTGTTGTTGTTGTTGTAATTCTATTGTTTGGGGTTCACAGGGAAGGTGGAGACTCAACTTCAGGGCGTTAGTGTTAAACTGTTTTTCTGAAGAGTTAGGCTCCTCCTACCTAATAGATGCACACGATGTGCTAAATTTTTGTGACTGAATGGTCTCTATCTATTTTGGTGAAGCCCCATTGCTAATTATCGTCAGCTTGAGGCAAAGGGCGGCTGCATAATCTCATGTCTTCCCTCGGCTTGGAGGTTGGCAGCGTGGCTTAGTGCCGTGAGACAAGTGCCTTTCATTACATTAACTTGGAGTCTTCATGAGATGTCCCAGATGGAGGTGATGTGCAATGTTTGAACGTTTGCGGTTTTTTTCTTGCTTCCAAGAAAGGGATATAAAGGTAATTACGACAAGCAAGCACAGTTACACGGACATAAACCATACTAATCCCGCACAGTATCCCGCACACTTAGCAAAACCCCCACCGTGTAGCCCTGCAAGTACATGAAAAAGTGAAGATTTTTCCAGGTAGTGGCGACAAAATGATGTGGCAGCAAAGTTACGATCAGCGCGTGGCGGTAGAGAAGTTTGCAGCTATTTGATGACTCAAACACCCCACACCAACAACGAAAGCAACGAAAGAGGGAATGCAACGCCATGGAAGGGCATCATACCCACCCACCCACCCAACCAACCAACCAACCACCCAACCACCCAACCACCAGCACAGCAGTAACACAAGCACCAACACCACCCCTGCAAGTTCATGAAGCAGGTGATGCGAATGAAAGAAGCAATAAGCAGAGGACTGAGAAACCCGCAGCAGAACCACTCCAGTGTTCCTATGTTTTGGTCGCTCAATCTCAGAAATTCTCAGAAGGTGCCTCCGCCATGTCCAAGAGAGGAAGTATCTTTGATGGTTTTCCCGGTCAAAGCAAGAGAGGTTATTCAACAAGGAAAACAAATTTGTGATAACCATGACCACTGAAAAGGTGTGAAAAGAAGAGTTCAAAAGAATTAAATCAAGAGTTATCTATTTGTTCAACCAATGTCTCCACACGTACTGTTCTCAGAAATCACTCATTCTGTTTTGCAACTGTTTTGCGCATATCATAGTAATAACTCTTGATGCAATTCCTCCCCAGAGACTCTGTTCACTGACCCCCTTTGCCAAGGGTTAACTAACTCTTGATTTAGTTCCTCCCCAGGGGCTCCAAATAGGGCCACCCAGCACATCCCCATTGAATGACTGCAAGACATCAGAAAGAGACCTCCCTAGTAGGCCCCAGTAGCTTCTTGTTCCTAGTACAGTAGTAGCGATGCCAGGAGCCCCTAGTAGCGAACATTGCTCCTAGTAGTAAGGCCAGGAGCCCCTAGTAGCGTC